GATTAAATGTAAAAGAAGTGGTGTCTAGGAGAGTAGCATGCTGTCCTTGTTAAAGACCGAAAACTCTACTTGAGGAGAAAATTCCTAAGGGAATGACTCTAGTCCATGAGGTACAGAAGATGACGGCCTTAATCCCTTCCAAGCTGTGGTTTGTGAAGAGTGTGTGGGGTGACTGAGCTGTCCAGTGCAATGGGCTCTGGACAAGTGGCTCACATGGCAGGAGTGGAGATCTTTGCTTGAGCATTCTGGTTTTGAAGCAGAGGCAAAGGAGACTACCTGATAAAGCAGGGATTGTATTGTAAATGAATCCATTTACTTTTGAAGTCGTAGTTCCCGTGGTCTCTCTAGCAAAGATAGAATCCAAGGCCATCATTTCCACATGTTCCTCCTATCAACAAACCAGTTTCCTGAGTAATAGTTCTCAGGTCTTTTAGTAATTTGACTGAACCTTTATGAGTTTTTAAATATTCAAATATTTATCCTTGGTTATTAATTTGATTATGCATTTTATAGTTTATTTAGGATGAGCACACTATCAATAATGTAGAAAGAACCTGCCTTATTTTAAAGAGTAGGCTTCTGTTAGTCATTGCAGATTAGTGATATCAGCCTTTTGTTCTATTGCCACATGAGAAGTAAATAAATGTATGGCTTTTCTACATCACATGAATTCTTATTAGTTTCCAATGCCCCACACAAACATTTTTTCATGTTGCTAGATTCGGTTGTCATCAAACTCTCTGTAGACCTAGCATCAAGACTATTCAGACAGTGGTTAGTATGCGAAGCATTTATTTCTTATGTTTCCCTTATAAAGTTAATTCAGAACTCAAACAAGGTTAAGCACTTGCTTTCTTGGTCCTTTTACCCCCTTTCCACATCAACAAAACAAAACTATATGGCAAGGCAGAATCTGGAGATACTATCATTATCCAGTCAAATATGGGTTATGAAATAGATTTGTCTCACTGCTTGAGTCAATTGTATCAATTGGATATTTTCCAAATCTTGATGCAGTGTGGACCCTGGCTGAGTGACAACATTCATACAAATGGCATAAGTAACTCATAACATTTAAAAATGAACTGTTTCTTTGACTACATAGTCGTCAGATACATCTTGGTAAAATGTGGTTAGAGCTGTTAGCTCAGCTTTCTCACTTACTTCAAAAAGTATGCAACATCCGTCCCCATCTGTTATGTGATCCCAGGCTAAATCATTGTGCTTGGGGTGTGTTCTTACTTTTCTGGGCAGTGCTTTTATGGAGGTGTTCTATAAAAGCCTCCAGGTGTCAGCAACCTGCCCAAATGGTTCTCATTAAATCTGCTGGGAGGCGATGACATCTCAAATGTCACGGCACCTCTTGGAGCAACTAATTGTGTTAAATTCTAAAATAACCGAGTGTTTTGTACTATAGGCCCAGATACTTCCAAATTAGCAAACTATCTGAAATCAACATAAAAAAAAAAAACCTCACCAATTTGTACCTTCTACAGTGATTTGTCCACTTATAATAAAAGTAGGTAGAACCACTACATTTAGAAGCAGTTGATCTCTTCGGTGTCTGACAGTCAGTATGAAGGACTAGCTGATGTCTTTAGGTCACTTCTAAAGAGCTCATTATATGTGCTCCTTACTGTTTTCAAGCCAGACATGCAAATACAAATCATATTGTTCCAGGAGAGACTATGGGTCTAAGTATACCTAGGCAGATTAACAACAACCCCTTCAGACAGGCATGCCCATGACTCCAGTGGGGGAAGGGTGGGGAAAGGAAAGGGTTGTGGGTGGAATGGCAAAGCCAGAATCCAAATATTAACAGTCTAGGAGAAAACATAAAACAAATGAATATCACTAAGGATGGCATTAACATAAATAAAATCTCAATGCTTGGGCCATAAAACAAACCTCTCAAATAGGGAAATGGGTTTACCTGTGCGGTTGATAAAATATTAAAACATGGCACTACAGAGAAGCTAGTATGATCTTGAAGTGAATTCATTTTCTATTCAGGAGAAAGAAGGCTCAGTGCTGGTTAGGACACATTTAAATGGTTGCCTTCAATTTTGAGTACTGGGTTTAAAGAGGATTGACAGCTCTGCATGCCTCTAGGAGGAGGGAGAATCGCGTATCTTTATCAAATGATGAAAAAGAAAAGACGGGCATGTACAAATTGAGAAAGGCCCAGAGGGAGCCTTACTTGTTTCCAAAAGCCTGAAGTTCTGTCTTGGAAATGGATTCCACTCATACTGGTTAACCCTAGAAATTGGCAATAAGAATGATGAATAGACAATGTCCATAGTACTGGCTTCACCTTTCTGTTGTGGGGAGTTTGATCTCTGGGTGGAAGCAGGGTGGCAAAGGTTGCATTTAAGGTCTAGTTCAGCTCTTGAAGTTGTTTGAGTCCGTGAGGGGTCATTGCCTTTGAAAACTGTGTAGTGTTCCATTTCTTACTTCTTTGAAGAGAGAAAGGATAATGTCCTTAGATTAATTCCAATGTACTTGAACATAATAAAGAAAACTAGAACTTTCCATTTCCAGAGTACCCTCTTAATACATAACTAAGCTTTTCTCCTAAATCCACCAATCATCTACTAGTCTCAACCAGCAGGAAATTTGAAATGGCAAGGTCTACATTTTCAAAAACACAATTTTAGAGTTGAAAAAGTCAAAGCAATTGTAGCTATCAGCATCCTTGGGTTGACCCTACTCTTTGAAAAATGCAAAGTAAACTGAGCTTAGAAACCTTGTGGGGACTTGTATTCATACGATAAAACAAACACAGCTGCACTGTGGCGGGCGTTTGTGGAAGCAGGCATTTGCTACTCTGTCGAAAACACAATTCGTTAGTCAATAAGATAGTTTACTGAATAATACACAGCAAGTTTATAGAATGCTACCTTTTAAGAGATGCCACCATGTACGCAGGGTCAGAGTTCTGTGCAGAGCACCTGATGGCCTTATTAAGGGAAGCAGATTTTTAAACTGAGTGTATAAACTGTGGTATCTTTGCCAAGCATACTATTGTCTATTAACTTGGGTGGTTGATGAAAAATGGACTGTAAAAATATGGAATACAACATGACAAGGCAGCATCTGCCACCTCCAAACCATGACAAAGCTATGTTATGAAACATCATTTGCTATGCTGAGAGAAGAAATCCAAGGGTTAGAAAGCCCAGAAGAGAAGTTCTCCATCCTATCCATTTTACTTCATGCTTTTCTGACTGGATCATCATTGCCTTTGGAATGGTGCAGGGGATCATCTCGCTGTTCTGGAAAGCACACACCTTCCTCTCCAATATGGCCCTGTCGATGTTTATTTCTCCAGTCAGCAACATAACAAATCTGCCTTGTCTCAGTCTTCCATGCAGATATTATAAATATAAAGTTTCCACAAAAAGGCATTTTGAGAGTCAGTGGAGTGTGTCTTCGGGGCTGATTTATGTTCACTGTGCCTTCAGCATGGTGGGTTGTGAGTCTGTACTGTCATACTTACAAATCAGACAAACAGAAACAAACTCTCGGTTTGGAAATTAGGATCTTTGAATCTATGATGTTCCTAGTAAAAAGGAGGCTAGCTGAGAGAAGATGGGAAAACAGCTGGGTTCACCAAGCTCATTGGGGAAAGGTTTTTGTGATGCAGGGAAATACAGGGCACATAATACAGGCCAAATGACATTTGGGGGTATACAGCAGTAATATTAAAACTTCTAGAATGTCCTGTAAGAAAGCAGAAGTATCACTATTAGTATAATTTTCATTCTAATCTTGTCAACTGTCAACATCACTGAACTCACCAATGGGATGTACCCATCTTTATCCCTTTGTCACTCAGGAAATGTTCTGTGGTGCTTGCCTCAAATGGCCCTGGAGTGGTTAGATGGTAGATCCACAACCACACAGATCTGTTTTGTGAAGAAGCAGGTATTTGGGGTTTCTGTGCAGGAGACTGTCGTGGCATGAGTCACTCACAACTCCTCTGCCCTCTTTGTGTTCAGCTCTAGCTGGATGGAATGGGGTGGAGGTTGAATGGGAGACGGGAAAGCAGAGGAAATGTAGGTCAAGTTTGCTTCTCATCACCACTTCGTGATCAATGCAACTACAGCCACTCTCCCTTCTCTCTGCTCCACAGACAGCCAGCACCATGAGCCAATGCCGCCCCCTCACCGCCTCCTGCTCCCATCAGGCCAACCAAGTGGATAAACCCAGGGGAACAGAAGGAAGATCTTTTAGGATGAGCTGTGTTCACTATTTAGAAATAGCATAACTGTGTGCAAACTGTTTTCTCAAGAAGTAGGGGCAGAGACGGAAGCATCCCTTGTTACATACTCTTCCCAGCCAGTTGTAATATTGAATGTTTTCCCTCTGATGGAGTCAATACCCTGTTTGCTCTCGTGGGTCTTCAGCCAATATCCATCTAGACTACAGGAGACTCTCCTGGCCTAGGCTTTAATTCTTGCCTTTCTCTCAGATGTATTATGTGACATATGCTTCCCGTTTACTGCATCTTTATCTCAAAGGAAGAGTAACAAACCCACACTCTTCTACTTTTCTCTTAACCTTTAGCTAAAGCTGAGCTATTTGTTTTTTTTTTTTTTAGAATAGTCCATAATTAACTTAAGAGACTTTCTGTTATTGTAAAAATAGAAATAAGGCCAGAATGGCACCACACTTGAGACTCTCAGTATATATTAGAAGACGGAAGTGTGATGCCTAAAGTCTGGCAAACTGGACCTCAAAGATGCTAATTTGGAGAAAAGATGTCATGGGCATCCAGGTTTCCAGTGATCCCTAATCAATACAACCTCTTACTAGCTAATAGGGAGGGCAGGATTTATGGCCCTCAGTGGACAATCTCAAGGCCTCCTTTTCCAAGTTTGAAGACCAGTTCCTCCCTGGGAGGGGCATCACTACCTCCTGAGATCCCGGGATGGGTATGGTGTGTGGAGGCTCCATCATTCTGACCCAGGTTTTATTCTGTTTCTGTTCCCTTACAGATTTCTCAGCATGGCGGCTCCTCTACTTCACTTTCATCCACAAAAGTCTGCAGCTCAATGGATGAGAATGATGGCCCTGGGGAAGGTGATGAGCTTGGGAGAAAGCACAGCTTGCCAGGGGAATGGAGGAGGGGTTAGCTAAATTTATTCTAAAAACTATAATGTCTGAAACACAATGAGTGGCCAAACCCCAGCAGTTCATGGTGGGATGTCATTGGGGACAAGAGTGGGTAACTCCTACAGGCATTGGCACCCACTGTCTGAGAATGGGAAGGAGGAGTTGTCCTAATTGAGTCCTTTTACATCCTCTGTGGGTGTGTGGTGCCTAGAAGAACCTTTGTGCTTCCTTTCTGTAAATGAAAAAACAGCCATGTCTTGTGTGTGAGCACCGTAGGTGGGCACCAACTTAAGAGAGTTCAATTCATCAAACTATAAATTTACAGAAAGAAGCTACTGCTGCCAACTGGAAAGACATAATGCTAGCCCCTTAAACTAATTAGCATTAGAATTTGTCTATGATGTAAGAAAACTACCTGGATTGCAGAGTTGTCACTTTTGCTAACTGGGTGGATTGTTCTCCCTATCTTAGTTCCCCTTCTGTAGATATGCAGATTATTAAATGTCAGCATTCCGACCCTACTGGGGTTGTAATCAGGCTCAAATCAATGAAGGGAAATAATTTTGGAAAGTAAGAGAGTCGAGATGAAGTCACTGTTAAGAATAAGCTTCTCTGTTTCAAATGACATGACTTGATATTTCCCCTAAGGTGTACCCTCTGAGGGACTCTCTGATGATAAGCTAGACACATGACTCACATGGGAATGGTTTGCTTCTTACCATGGTTATAGCAGACACTTTTCATTTGTCAAAATTGTAGTTCAACCATCTAGAAGTCTCCTTCATTCCAGTGTGCTGTATTCATCCAATGGAATGTGATGGTCCTTGACTAAATCTAGGCTGAGTCTAGAGGGACCAGATCCTTTATCAATAGTTGGTAGAAAAATCCCAAATGTTGTATTATGGATGGGTGTCCCAGTGAATGTTTCCATTGGACGAGAGTAAAGATGGCCCCATCGATAGGATCACAATTATCCCAAAGGCCATGGACAAGTACTGTATTACCCAGCTACTAAGAGTCTAAGACCCTGTCATCTGGTAGATGCTTTCTTTATAAATTCAGATAACCCACAACCATTTCCTCCCCTCCTCAAGGAGAAGACAAAAATCCCCAGGTTGAGTCTTCAAACATAGGCAAAATCATGGTTCTTTCCTGGGTGGGCTAAGGGAGGAGGCATTGGCTGTAGCCCTCACTCTATGCTGGGCACTACCAAGGTAGCTTCCAGTGACCCAGGAGGAGCTGCCCTCCACAGTGTGGAGGCTGTGAAATGCACAGGGGCATAATAGAAGCAGTTGCCCTGCATTTTGACTTTACTTTCTAGAAAAACCAGTTGTGCAGGCTTAGCACTGTGTGGCCAGCACAAAGGGCCTCAGATGAATTTCCATTCATTCTTCCCCAATATCACACATGAAATACGAACTGCAAAACTTACCAGAAACCTCCTTCACACCTACATGTATTTTGAGGGGGAAACTCAGGGTATGAGGACAAACTAGAAGAAGAGTACTGTTAGGAAGCTCACTGGGCTCCCATGCCATTTTGCACTTGGGTTGCCTGGGAGGAAAGCTGGAATTTATAACTTTAAAGCATGTACATTTTACAGCCCAGATTTAAAAGGCTTTTATACCCTTGACATGTTAAAGGTGATGCATCATATTTATGTGACCCAAGCATGGCTTATTTAATTTTATAGCCTTGGATATTTAAAGCATTATTAGGCATTTGTAAAATACTTCAAAATACATTTTCAGAGGGAGACTATGTTGTATTATTACAAAAACTGTTCTGCCCACAGACATTATAGATATCAGGGTTTAAACTTGACATCTGCCATGCAGGTTGCTTGGTGAGAACATTTGTCTAAAATCTGCTCATTGATATTAGGGAGGGGTGGCCAGCAACCCTGAGTGCATAAGGAATTTTGCAGAGATATCCATTTCAGGATGGAGTCAAGTTCAATGTCCAAACAGCAGGACCTTTTCATGCTTGTACAATGTCAAACTGCTCAGAATTGCCCTAGAAATGTCTTTTTCTCTGCCCTGTGCATAAGAAGGTCATTTCTCTGAATACAATGAGTATGCAATGAAGGCTGTTGATCAAATTAGCGTGAAGTTGGAAATACAGGATTTCCTACCCTGAATCCCCACTGCAGCAGTAAACATAAGCTGCAGTGATATCAGTCCAGGTGGGCCCAATAGGTTTCCTTTTTAATTTATTGTCTGCCTTGGTAAGAACCGTTGAGCCTGCAAGTGAGGGGGGGGCTACCCACAGGACTTCTGAATTGGTTCCAGTCTGTGAGATGATGCTTAGAAACATATCTTTCATACAACATCTGTGGCCCCTTCTCTATCAGTAAAAACACACTAATAATTCTTTCAGAAGAGTCGGAGGAAGGCTTCCAGATTCCTGCCACAATAACAGAACGATACAAAGTTGGGAGAACAATAGGAGACGGAAATTTCGCTGTTGTCAAGGAATGTATAGAGAGGTAAGCAGGGCACTGTTCACGTGGGGAGTTAAAGGAAACACTTGACCTTCATGGATTCCATGGTTCAGTTTCTATTTTCAGACAGAGACACATGTGGATTAAGTTAATGTCTCAATCCCAGAGACACAAAGAATAAAAAATAATAAACAGAGGCCACCTAAAAACAGTCTTTAAAAATATAACAATTCCTGGGATATTCTCTAAGACATAAAGACTTTGATTTTTACTGGGTATATTTGAAAAATCTTTCCAATTCTGTCGGGTAATGTTTTTATATTATTTTCTTGAGAAGCAATTTTGGAGACTTCCTCCTATGTGTCTCCTCAAGAATGTTCTTTTATAGAGTTTGATCTCTTATATGTACCATCATAAAATTATATATGACAATAACCTTGAAAGGTTTTAAAAACACATGTGTGCTAAGTCTACAAAAATGGTACTAGACCTGTGAAGGCATCTTCAGATGGATAAACTATAGACCCTGTGGGTTTAGAGTCAAGGTCATTTCAAGCTGTCCTCAAAGTCACCATCCTCCTGCCTCTGCCTTCCTTCCAAGTGTTAGGGTTACAGGCATGTTCCCATGCCTGGTTTATGCACAGGCTCTAGATGGCTGCTCAAGGACAGTAGCTGTAAATACCCGGTAGAGAAGTGACAACAAACACTGTGTTGGTGATAGGGAAGTGACCTCAAAACCTCATCTTAGTACCAGACTTGGAGTTCTTTTCTGGGCAGTTGCCTGTGTTCAGGATTTGGATAGCTTGCATCTTCTCGGGCATTTAACTCATCCCTTGAGGGGATCTCTCTTGAGGGGACTGGCTTAAATGAAACATCTATGCTTCCCTGCTCCCCTTCCTCTCAGTGAGTTGGTCATTCCTCAATTTCTTGGAGCCTGTATAAGTATCCCTTCCATGTGTCATATCACTTAGAGAGGACATCTCAGGCAAGGAGACAGATGAGGAAGCTGTAACACTGAAGAGCCTGGATCTGAGCCTTTTAGAACCAGAGGCTGGCCTAGGGTACCATGCATCCCTGGGATTTAGCTGAATCAACATCTGCCTAGCTACCACACCCCAGCATGCCTTCTTCATCCAGGACAGCAAAGGCCCCCTAAATAACCCTCATACAGTAGCTTTCAGATTTCACTCATCTCAATATTCTAGCTGGGCTGGGATGTTCACAAGGGCATAGCAGGCTACTGTAGCACTTATTCTGCAGTAGGTAGAGTCACTAGTAATTGGTGGCATGGAAACATCCCTGCTGATGCTGTCAGTTCACTTCTCTCCTCTCCCTTAGTTCCCAGTCCCACCCATGGAACAGTTGCCTGACTGCCAGATACAGGAAACATTCCATTACCACCTTGGCTTCCACCCTTCCTGAAACCAGATAAGACACTATTTACTGAGCATCTAGCTACTCGTGGCCCTTAAATTACAGTATCTTATTGAATTATAATGATTCAGTCAGGTCAGTATTGCTGTTCTCATTTTATTAAAAGATAGATGGAAGAGATTAAATATTCAGGGTCAGTCATCTACTAAACATGTACACCAGAGCTTTGCTCCTAAAAATACACTTAAGTCAGTCTACCCCATTGCTTCTAATAAAGGATTCCCCACAAGAGTCTAGGAACTTACCTACATCACCTTTCCAATGCTCATTAAGGCAGAGATTATATAAGGGAAGGCATTCTAAGCAGGAAGTGTCTCCTTTTGGCAGACTGGCTTGGACTTTTTTTGTGGGTTCTCTAATCATTTGCCAGAACTCATCGTCTGTTAAGTTGACCCAGTGATAAGTTACTGGTTACTCTAGCTGGTCCTGGACCAGGATGGTGTCTGAGTCCTAGGATCCCAGCCTTTTCACACTAGACAGCCCCCATGTCTTCACACAGAAGACAGTTCCTACTTCTCCACACAGAAGACAGCTCCCACTTCCCCACACAAAATCCCCCCCCCTTTTTTCTTTCTCACTCGGCTTGTGTTCATTTTGCGTGAGTTCACATTTTGGGCTCACTGCATGAAACTTCAGAGTCTAAATACCAGCTTGCTCTGAAAGTGTCAGCAGCCAGCTCCTGCTGAGCAAGGACATATGGCTGGTGCCCTCTCTCTCCAGAGATATTATGAAACACTCTTTTAATATTTTGCAGACATCCAAGACAATAAACACAAGCTAAGAATGCTGTGAATGGCACATGCTGCTTGTGGGTGCACTCTGCTATGTTTGGGGGGATGAATGTGTATCAACATGGGTAAAGACATCCCACCTCTGTAATAATATGCCATCACAGACAATTTTCTACAGTGGATACAGTAACAGGGTGACATGGGTCTTCTCTTCTGTGGGCCTTCTCTTCTAGCCTATTCTTTGCTAGCACACTACTGTCTGCACTAACAGGATTTTTTAAAATATTTTTATAAATTCTTTGAGATCATAGTCATCCATCTCTCCATCTCCCAGATCCATCCCCCATTCCACACCCATCCAATGTGATGTCCTCCTTTTGATTTGAAATCCATTGAGTCTCATTAATGTAGTCTAACAGTTCTTAGCATGTGGCCATTCAGTGAGCTGTGTTAGAGCTACCAGGAGTCACACCCTTAAAGCAAACTAACTCTCCTTCTCCTGGCAGCTATCAATTACCAGTAGCTCCTCAGCTAGGGGTGGAACTTCCTGCACTCCCCGTCTCCGGGCTGGCATTTTTGTCTGGCTTGGGCTTGTGCAGGTCTTGTGAAGTCTGTCTCAGCTACTGTACGTTCATGTTTTCTTGTAGACATTCACCACCTCTTCCACAATGATCCCTGGCCCTTGGGAGAAGGGTGTGATATGATATTCCACTGAAGGCTGAGCACCAAAGTCACTCTCAGCACCTTGAACAGTTGTGGGTCAGTGTCAATCACCTGTGGAAGCAAGGGTTATTATGACATGACTACAGTTCTGCTTCAAAGAAGGAGTTGTTGGGATAGTAAACCTAGTGGTCCTTGACAGGGTGTGTTGTCTGATATATGAGTAGGTTTGGTAGATGCTTGTATTATAAAATGTTCTAGCAAGATAGGTGCCATATACTTCTTTATAAACCCTGAGGCCCCCAAACCTGCACTTGCTTTCATCTTCCCCTAGTGACAGGATTGAGACAGAATGTAAGATTCTGGCCTTCTGGAGACAGCCCTGACACCACCTCAATGATGTCTGCCTGCCTAAAGAGAAAAACTCCAGATTCCCAGATTCCATAGCAGCCATGATTACGCAAGACTTCTAGTGGAGAAAGGGGGCTTCAAAGTCTGCCTTCTGGCTCTACTCCCCATATTTAATCATAACAATGTGAGGTTATTGAGTGTTTTCTGTGCCAGGGCCTGAAGGTACAGTAACAAGCATTTTTTAGAAATAATAATGTTACTAGTTTCTAAAATGCCCATGAAACAGATATTTTAATACTTGGCCTCTTAATTTGTCTATAGAAAAGTCATTTCTTTGCTCTAAGCATGTAAGTGGGAATCCCATTAAATTCCATACTGGAGAATTTGAAACTCCCTTTTCCAAATTGCTTCATCAGCCTCATTCCAACCACAACCATTTGGATACAAACAAGTGACTTCTATCTGTAAGTAAAAGGCTGGGCCCGGGAGTGGTGGCACATGCCTTTAATCCCAGCACTCCGAAGCACTCTGGAGCAGAAGCAGGCGGATCTCTGTGAGTTTGAGACCAGCCTGGTCTACAGAGCTAGTTCCAGGACAGCCTCCAAAGCCACAGAGAAACCCTGTCTCAAAAACCAAAAGAAAAAAAAAAAAAAAAAACAGTAAAAGGCTGGGCTCTGCTGGCCTTGTGCCAGAAATGAAAGTATATTCCTTCAGAAGTTGTAGTTTAGTACAATTTTCCATGTGTTGTGTCCTCTGACAATACCCATGCCCTTAGGTTTGGTGCCAGAATATCTTAAAATACTGGCCCATATTAGCACCCATCAGGCATGGAGCTGGGCTATATGGAAAGCTCACAGTTTGAGAAGCATGATTTTATCCTTGCCATGTGGCTACAGGAAAGTAAGTTGACTTAACCATCCTTTCCATTTTGTTCTGTGATTGACAGCCACAAAAGGCCCAGTGGGTCCCAGGAAAGCTCCAAAAATGGCTTCATCTTTGAGCCTATCACTATCCTCTTTGATCCTCATCACTCTGGGGTTCTCCAGCAATTCTGGAGAACTCTCATGCTCTGACACTGAACGGACATCTACAGAGTGTGTCCCACTTCTGGGTGACCTTGAGACCTGTACAGACAAGGGTCATAGTCACTCTGTGGAGAGAGAACCCCAGGAAAGACTGACTGGGCACAGATCACACTTAGATTCCCAACACTCTGGTAGCTGATGCAGGAGGATCACCAGTTTGAGGCCAGATATTTAAGGAGACCATGTGTGTGGCATGGGTGAGTGGTAATTAAGGGAGTGGCAAAGAGGACAATTACAGATATGTGCTTTGCAACCCCTGCACGTGACTTTCAGGAGAAGGGACAGCAATTTTGCAGAGCTTCAACAGCCACAATGGCAGTGTTTTCTGTGTAAAAATGGCTGCATGACTCCACATGTGTTTGTGCTAACACATTTATTGTCCCTAGTGGGGCAAATGCTTAGAAATCTGCAGATTTCTTTGTACAGAAAGAAACACTTTCAAAAGTAGAAACCCTGAGACCTACGAGCAAGAAGCTAACTCCCAACAAAAATTAAGCTTTATTTAAAAAGTTTTCTTTTTTCAGGTCAACTGCTCGGGAGTATGCCCTGAAAATCATCAAGAAAAGTAAATGTCGAGGCCATATATATATGGGATAAAAAGACTTGTGATGGTTTGATTTCATTTTCCCTTGTATTTGTTATCTAAGATTCATTCTGTCTGGGTTGATTAATGTGATCCCCCCCTTGCATAGGAGCACATGATCCAGAATGAGGTGTCTATCTTAAGGAGGGTGAAGCACCCCAACATTGTTCTCTTGATCGAAGAGATGGATGTGCCCACTGAACTGTACCTCGTCATGGAATTAGTGAAGGTGCGAGTTCTGCTTTTATTTTTTTTAAAAGAAAAACTACTTCTGTTGTTATATTTAAAGCTGGAGGTGACCAAAATGCATCAATGTTGTGGAAATAATGTTAAACTGTCATTTTTAATAAAGACAGGTTCTTTTATTTGTTCAAATTTTTATAGACACATTTTATCATCAAATCAGTACTTTATTCATCTTGTAAATTAGATTGTCTCCTGCTCACAGAATAGAATTTTACCATAGCATGTCTCTTTAAGCCAATAGCTTCAACTCATTCCTGTGGCCCTGCTGTGTGCTATTAAAAAATTGATTAATCCCACTATTTTTAATTGACCAGCTCCCTGTAGGCTCATTTAGTGGGGAAGGTGAGACCAAGTTAAATTTGGGGATGAGAATAAAGACATTTAATGATGCATTTAGGTGCAGATCTCAGTCCAATGGCCAACTGATCAGATGACTCCAGGGAAGCCTTCATTGCCCTGAACAGCCTTCATGAACTCTCCTCTCTCTCTCTCTCTCTCTCTCTCTCTCTCTCTCTCTCTCTCTCTATAACTAAGATGTCTCAACTAGGGGGAAAGTATCCTGCCCGAGCTAGGAAGAACTGCCTTGAGGCCTGGACCCTAGGTGACCAGACCACACCTGGCTCTTTGCAGGCTTACATACTGCTGTCTGTATGTGCCCTGCTGTCTAATCAAGTGTAATGGAGTCAACTAGACCACAAAGAACATCCAGAAACAAACTTCATACCTGTGTGACAGCCCCATCCTTGAGGAAAAACAGGAAGCAGAGAGAGAAAACATTTGTTTAGGTTTATTTGCGGAAAAACCATTGCTTGCCCAACAGGGAGAGAATTTTCCAGGGTAAAACTGCACAGGGAACAGAGATGCCAGCACAGTTTGTGAACCCTGAAACCTGACAGCCTGCAGGGCTATGTTCTGTTTTTACTGTTTTGAAAGGGGAAATTAAGTTGCTCACTATGTAGTGACATGTGAATGCATTTGGGCTCTGGGCTCAGCTGTTTCCTAGTCAATATTCAAGAACGATGTAAATGCTTTTAGCAAAGCACACCCAAATTCTCCGGAAGAACTTCAAATAAGTGCAAATAATGTTGAGCCCCAAATCATTGTTTGATCAAGTAGTGATAAATTATAAAGGAACACGGGAAAGAAAAATTCAGATAATAGGACCAGAAGACTGTGGTGCCCCCTTCTTCCCCTACCTCTCTCCCTGTCTTTCTTGACATTAGAACAGGTTGTGGGTCCCATTTTCCATTCCTTACAGAGAAACAAGTTATTGAAAAAGAAAGCTCAACCACCCACTCTAAGAGAGCTAAAAGTGGCAAGTCAGAGAGCGAGAGAGAAACAGAGTATGTGTTTCCCACGTGTCTAATAATTTCCAAGGCAGGAGAACATTGTGTTAAGGATGGAGTTTGCAGAATTACCTGTCTTTCTGGGGGAGTTTTAGGACTATGAATTTGCACTTTAGTTAGCAGTTGGTGTATGGCAGGTAGCACGTGTCACCAGAGTCCCCCAACATGAGGCTTCTCCAAGGTAACCCAGCTCTACCTCCTCTTTCCTGGTGAGGGGCTGTGGAGACAGCCACGTGTCTGCTGTCGGAGTCTCATCACCGCTCTTTTCTTTAAATTTAGGATAAAATGTCAGTATCTTTCATACAGAGGACAGAAATCACTAGAGAGTCTTTGGTCTTTTGAAAAGCAGTAGCAGAGAAAGCCCCTAGGAGCCCCCAAATTCTAGTCCATCCTTCATGTCCTTTCTGGTTTGTCAGTCCCCTCCACGGGCAGCCTATCGGTCCATCTGTCAATATCCCAGTCAGCCAGCTGCTCTCTTCCAGGGTGGAGACCTTTTTGATGCCATCACTTCCACTAGCAAATATACAGAGCGAGATGCCAGTGGGATGCTGTACAACCTGGCAAGTGCCATCAAATACCTGCACAGCCTGAACATCGTCCACCGTGACATCAAGCCAGAAAACCTGCTGGTAAGAGGAGAGCATCTTGACTTCTAAGCCTTCCATAGTGAATGGACATTCCCTCCTTTTCTCTCTTCTTTCTTTTTAACTGTTTGCCTCCCTAATGAGTGGACATTCCTTCCTTTTTTTCCTCTTCTTTCTTTTTAACTCTTTGCCTCCTAGGCTTATTTCCATGGCACTTGGTTTCTCTTTAATGTAATCTATGAGAGCTCTTATACCCTCAAGAATATGGGATGCTTTAAAAATGGGAACAACATTCTAAAAAAATATCAAAGGCAGGCTGTAGTTATCATCCTGGGCTGGTACCAAATAGTGAACGTGATCATATCTGTGACTGCACTTGTATTCTTCTAATATAAGAGAAAGGAAACCTTTGTGTGTGGAGAGGAGTGAGGGAGCATGTGTGTGTCCACATGTGTGCACAGATGTGGGTGCGGTTGAGTGATGACCTAAGGTCCATGTGGGTGTGTGTCTAGTGTCTTCCTTTCCAGCCCCCTCCTTACTTTTTGTGACATGGTCTCTCGCTGAAACCAGAGCCCACCCTCACCATTCAGCAAGTCTGGCTGAGCTGACCAGCAGCAAACCCAAGTGTCGACCTGTCTTCACCTCCCCACTTGTTTCTGGGATGACAAGCATGTACCATCATGCCTGGCTTCTGGGGATCCAAACTCAGGTCCTCACGCTTGCATAGCAAGCACTTTCCTGACTGAGCCACGCCCCTGCCCACCAGTATTGCTTTTACTATCCTATCTTTGCATCTTTATGTTATGGTCTAAAACCAAAGAGAAATGAACCATAAGGGGTAGATGTCATCACTTCAGCACAAGAAAAGTCATGGGGAAAGATACTTTAGAAAATGTGTTGTGGGGGATGTGGCTCGGTTGTAAAATGTTTGCCTAGCATTCATGAAGTCAAGGGTTCTGACCTCCAGCACTGCATAAAATGGGTATGGTGGTGCAAGCCGGTAACACCAGCACTTGAAAGCCATCCTTGGTTACACAGGGGGTTCAAGGCTACCCTAGTCTACTTCATGACCCTATCTAAAACAAACAAAGCAGAAATCAGCCCACAGTCTTATCTTTCTTTTCTAACTATTTGATTTGCTGTTTATAATTTCCCTATCTGAGCTATCCATGCCAACAAATGAAGTTCCTTCTCTAGCCTGCTTGCTGGCAGTACAGGTGGTCTAGATGGAAGCAGAAACTAAGTAGGAGGAGATATACTGGGAAACATGGAGTAGCATAAACTTTACTGATTCTTCAGGCTAGAAACTGAAAATGATTTTTCACCTATCCACCCAAAGATAGTCTTTTTTTCTCTTTTGTTTTTCACTTCTGAGCATATTTAAAATGCAGATTTCTGGGCCTTAATGCAGCTCTACTAAGTCAGAAACTGATGCCTAGTGACAGGATACAGAAACCCACACTGTAACCAGCTGCCTGAGGTGATCAGAATGCATGAGTGCCAGGCATGGTGGCATACACTTTTAATATCAGCATTGGGGAGGTAGAGACAGGCAGGTCTCCGTACGTTGGAGGCCAACCTAGATTATGAGTTCCAGGACAACCAAAGCTATGTAGTGAGACCCTGCCTCAAAAAAATGAAAATCAAATCACAAGGGTATCTTAACTCCCTCTTCACAAATAAAAATTGATGAGGTTTGCTATTACAGAGAGCCATCTATGTGTTCAGCCTCATACTGGGGGCTTTTAAAAATACCTGTTACCTTGTTTAAACCCTACAGCCACCACATGGAGTAAATTCTTTAACTCCCCCAATTCACAGGTAAAGAAACTGGGTACCTAGAAGTTAAATGCCTTGCCCAAGGTTATAATATAATATACAAGTAGAAAACTCAAGAGTTCAACTGAGTTCTGACTCACAAATCCCCCAGACGCAGTGGGCTCTGTTTTAGGGAGAGACTAATCAAGTGCCACTGTGGGCCAGGTCCCATGCCAGGGAATTAGACACATTCCTTCATGGAGTTGACATTCAAGCATAAAAGACGGGCATTCAAGAAATAAATATGCACACAATTAGCTCTTTGCAATTATGTCTGTAATCTTGTAGCGGCTGGCTCATGCAAGCAGCTGAGGTCAAATGGCAGAGGTCTGATTTAATTGCACCTCAAATTCCAAATCTCTGCAGCAGCCTAAACATTCTCTCTGCATAGCTGCCTCCATGAACTGCAGCAATTTTCTGTCATCTCCAGTCATTACTCCTGTATCCTGATTCATGTAGCATTGCCTCATGGGAACAGACTTACAAGTGGGGCTTTGTTAAGTAACTTCTCCAGGCTCCAAACCTCAGATTAGAAAGTAAGGCTTCATTTCCCTCCACACTCAGTTTTGGGGCATCCATTGTTTATTTGTTCCTCAGCAGACCATTATCTATTTCTGTAAATGCCTTCTATGATTACACAGCAGTGTACTTCTCTTTTCAAATTATAATTTGCAGGATATTTTTAAACCCCGTGCTCATTGGAACATACTTTAACTTAAATGAACCAGAAAGAAAATATGGATACTCTCTCCTCTTTTTCTCCCCCATTTCTGCTTTGATTAGAAATATATAAGAAACTATTGCAGCTATTCATATTTTTTTTAAATATCTACATGAAAAACAAATAGATTCACTTCCCCATTGTAGTGGTTTCTTGCTGTGAGGATATGGGGTTGGTACATTTTTTTTAAGGAACAAATCTATCACAGAATAAATTGAAAAACAGAGGACATTTAGAAGAATGAAGATGGCATTTCTAATTACCCATGAGGTCCCTCTTGCTTCCAAATGCTGGTGAGCTCTGCATGGAAATAGGAAGCACCTATCACAGGGACCACATCTTCACCTGCTCAGAGTTATAAAAGCTGCAGCCAGTGCTATCCTGTTTTGTGACCTTGGACACGATCTCTAATTCCTCCAAGCCTCCTTCACGGGGGTGGGGAGATTTTATGTCAGGTCCTTGCCTTTTTATCTCCCTTTTACTTGTGGCAAAAAGGTAAAACGGCCTCACAGTAACACTATACATAGGGAAATACCACCTTTCATCTTTTACTGTCATTGCTTTTAAATTTTTACTGTTCACCCATATATAATTTTTTCTGTCTTGTGGCAAACCACAAACCTATAGATTATCATAGAAAGGTGTTTCAGTAAAGTTAGTATAAAATTTTGAGTGCATTTACTGCCTACAAGGAAACTTAGCACATACATGCAAGTCCCTCATTTCACATTTTGTGTTACCTTTCATTAAGAGACCACTAAATCCTTCTGAATTGTTACATTGTTAACAAGTCCTTTGCTAGTTCAATGTTTGATTGGGAGTTTTGTAGCTAACATAGTGACTTTTATAAATATCAGGTACAGATTTCATTTTATGTAGTATAATTGGGTATACAGAATTCTGGGTATGTTTTACTTTTAACTCTAACAGCACAAATACTAAAATGTAGCATACCTTTCAAGATCTGCACTGATCATGTAAATGATTGATCTGTGTTTGATAAGGTCAAAGTATTTTAATCAGAAAGCATGCTCCCCTATGCAGTGTGTTCTGCTACCCTTTAGGGGAGAACTGACAAATGACCCAGTAAAAACAGAATTTAGAAATTGATCTTTGCATCAACTTTAACATGTTTTGTTCTTCATGTCATTCATGTGCTTAGTTGTTTTACCTGTTATCAAACCTGGTACCTAATAATCAAATGGATGGATGACAAAGGGGTGATGGAGTGGATGGGGCCAACATGGAGTGAGTAGTGCTTTATCAAAGAATGGAGGACAGAGGGGCTCCAGCCACATCTTAACTCCTCCGCTACACAAAGGCGCCCATATAAATCTCTCTGAGGGCAGGGAAGGTACAGCCTCGCCCTCACCAGTATGCATGCATCAAACAAGACAGATGATACCTAAAGGGACCATTTTTAAAACAAAAAAAAAAAGCTATTCTTTGAACACAACAGGGCCATTGCACACATGATCATATGGTGTCTGTGGCTGCATACACAAGGCCTGCACCTGGTCATGCCAGCCAAAATCCCAGCATGCATGGGGAGGGGCTCATGAAATCTAACCCTTACCAGAGGGGCAGCTGATGGCCACTGGTGCAGGGAAAGTCAGTTTTATCCAATGATGCCAGCCCTGAGAAGTGAAATGCTGCAGTAGATTGGCCAGCACCCATGCACATCCAGGCATAACAAGAAGAATACAGTAGGATTTCAGAAAAGAAACGCATGAAGTTGGCAGGGAAAAGTGGGTGCTGGGTAGGGGAAGAATTCGAAGGAGAGAAAACAGGAGGCAGATTTGATCAAAACACATTATATACATGTACGAAATTGTCAAATAATAAAAAATTTAAAAGGAAAATAACCTAACCTGTAATTTACAAAGTTTTTAGGGGTGGCCAACACATGGGAAGATCCCCTGACAATACAACTCATCCATCACAACTTCTGTTTCTTTTAGGAAATTGATGGGCCCTTAAAAATACTACACCTCAAAAATTCAGTCTGTACTAGCAAAAAAAATGTAACTAGATGAATTTGTTATAATATAGAAGTAAACAGATTGTTTTTGATTTTTTAGAAGTATATGCATAGAACCCTCTTTCTCCTGCTACAGGAAGAGATAGATGATATAGATATAGTGATATATAGATACAAATCTGCAGATAAAGGTTGTTTCTCTAAGAATCTACTTCTGTTAATAAGAAACTCTCTCTCAGAGCTCTCTGTCCAAATGCTCGTGCAAGTCTTTGATGCCTATGGAGTGACATGTGGGCCCCAGTCCTTCTCATCATACCCAATGGATAGCTCACCCAAGGTCAGGGTCTATTTGTATTCTGAGACCACTTAGTTTCCACTCAAGACAATACTACTGAGATAAGGAATGTCTTTCTGTCTCAAACCCAAGACCATCGAATAAATCCATTTAGATGTGGGATTATTAGCATTGTTACAGACAATGATTACAGTTAGAGCCAGTCTACAGACCACGGACAGGATTTGTAC